ACGTTCTGAAATACTGCTCACCGGATTGTTTGTTGGTCGGGTTTGGAACCTCTTACCACCTCGTTGGTAAGGAGCCACCGCCCTCGCCATCCACTACACAATTTTCCTTATCGTCCAAATAGGATTTATCGTGACTACTTCTTTCGGTTTTGTGACACATTAACGATTGCGAGCCGCCTATTCAGCCCTTTCAATTGATGAGCACATCCTTTTCTATTTATTTATGTGTAAGCCGTTAGATCGAGTAAGGGGGGGAGAAAACACCCTAAAGGGAGTAGGTTCATCAACTTCATTTATCTATGTGTCATATGTAGAATGGCAGCAACTTCGCCATCGGGTTTTCCCTTCACGCGGAGGGACACAGTCAAAGAAATGCACTAGACGTAGCATGGGTAGTTGCGGTCGTCAGTTCGGGGCAGTCGGGCCAGCCACTCATCCATCAATTTCCTTTCCCTATATCTCGTATTCTGAGCAATAACCGATGAATATTTTTAGCCCAACCGTGCTCATGTAATCTCATAAACTATAGCAAAATTACTTCAATTCAGGGTCGGCCAACCTATAGACGCTACTATCCCCCTCCTAGGACTTTGAGAACGAGCCATTCGCTCTATTCGCGAAGTCTGGACATCGGCCTCAAGGGGTTGGCACGACCATCATCCTTATCAGCCTCAGACGGATTCACAAACGAACCCTTCCACCCCTCTCCTACTTCCACCCTGACCACCTTCAGTACCAAATATTACGTGTGCAGCCGTATTTACACGCGCGTCATAGGGGGGAGGGCGGCATTATAAAACAGAGCCGAAGGGTCTCCTCATTCTAATTTCCGTTCCTGGAACTCTGTGTTAGGCGCTGACAGGACCTCGCCAATCTCTGTGATCTTGTTCCCGGTGTCTAGTGTCGCAAACCTCTGAGCCCTTCTTATTGATTCGTGGGATCATTCCGATGCACGCTACGCACACCATAGCGCTTTATTTGCGTCACAGAGCTAACTTTTGGCAAATGCCGCCAACTTCCACATTCTCTGTGCTGTGCTCACACTACTGGTGAAGTAACCATTTCTCAATACAGTTCATATCCGGCAGACAGGGTGGGCGGGGCCACAGACGTAATTGCGGACTACACAAATTTGATAGTTGTCGCCCTGATCAGCTGACTTCCCTGTATTTCGTTGAATTCTTCGTATTACTCGCGCATTCTGCAGTAATTCCTTATTCTCTATGGTGCTATTCTGCTCCGTCAGGTTCGTTTCAGAGGAGGCAGGTAAGTTTCAGAAAAATAATGCTCTTGTTCGATTGAATTGCACGATTTTTTGCATGTTTTGCATGGAGCTGTTGTAACCGCTGAATTTCTTTTTTATTTTTCATGTCTCGTCGCACCATGTATATTGCTCTTTTACACTGTCGGGTCCGTGCCGTCGTTGGAAAGGCGTGCTCAGGATTACGGTATCTGAGCAACTGCCATCGGTCGTACCTCACACGGAGGACAGTACTTAAGGAGAGGTCACCAGCCAACGGGCAGTCGTCGGTCGTCGGTCGTCAGTCGTCAGTCGTCAGCCGGCACTCACTCTCCCTTCCCCCTCATCCCCTTTATCTGTATCTTATTAATAACGTAATAAATATGTATAGCCCAATCTATTATGTAATCTCCTGGACGACCGCTACACACCTTCAGATTAAGGGTCGGCCAACCTATAATCTGGGACATTATTTTTTTCAGCTTCGTAGACTCTGTTATAACCGAGCTCCACTTCTTTTTGTTGAGCACCACCCATTTAAAGAACGCCCACCGACCGCAAGTGGATTACCCAATTGGACCTGTCAATACGATTCACTCCTTGCTTCAGTTTTCTCCGACTCATGGCTTTTCTGGAATCGAATCAGAGGTTTTCAACTCGATGCCACCCAGTTCGGCTTATGCCTCACCCACCGCGGGCGGGGCTCAGCGTAATTGTTCTAAAGGGTGTTTCGCCAAATTGTACGGGCTCACCATAATACCGCCGTGTAGACGAGTGAATCGGATTGAACTCTAAACTTTTCTAACAACAGCTTTATTAAAATACAGAACTACAAACAAGTGTTTCATTACAAAACAACATTTTTTTCCCTTCCGCCCTTTTTAAAAAAGGGGGCGACCAACGCGCACCTGTTGAAGATATAGGAGTGGATACACTGTGCCAAAGTAATGCAAAGGTATTTTTCCATGGCTTTCAAGCAGGTCTGTTCAGTGAACGTTGAAGTGGTGTTACTCAGGCAGGTCTCGCTCCCAAAACCCCGTGCAGAATAGCCTTCTGGAATCGACTGTGGGTGGCCTTTCTTAGAGCGTTGATGAAGCCTGCAGGGTATCCTTGCGCCATTCCGTGTCACCTTTGACCTATGAAGTGGTGGCGAATCTTCGGAACACAGCGAAACCGCGAAAGAGCAAAACACAAACGGCCTGAAATCGAATTTTCTCCAGGGAATTAAGGTGTTCCCAAGCAACGCTTTTCAGGCAGCGTTTCTATTTTAATATGCTCTTCGATGAAAACCAGTGGAGACTTGGTCTCATGGATCATCACTGTCGAAAGCATAATTTCTCAGCCAGTCCAGGGAGTTCACAAATTCTCCGCTTCCAGAGCACGGAAACGTTATGACGATTGAAGATTGACTCTATTGTCGGCTTCTCAGCAGAGCAGTGAAAACAATATCAGTGGCGCAAAGACCTGACCCGTCCAACAGCATCTTGGACTTCTTGGAGCAGGTTTTTCTTAAACTTCTGGAGCCGGTTTTTTTCTTCTTTTCTGAACGCAGGAAGGTGGACTTTTTGACATCAATAAGGCCTATCTCCTAGCTCCTTCGTAGCAACACGATGAAATGGGGCGTCATATCCCAACTTTCACATTCTTCCTTATCAGTCTACCTGGATTGTACCGTATGGTACTTCAAACAACTTCAACGTGTTTTCGTGGGAGCTGCAGTTGCTCGCCTTCTCCTCCCGGGCGACTTCCCGTAGTCTCGAGGTTCTTAAAGGCAGCGACTACGATAAAGTGGGAGCATATCGGGAAAGCACAGGCGCTTCCACGACGGAAGGTGCGCTGGTTGCTGAGCAGGACTTCGAAAGCGCTCCGCCCCCAAAAGCGATCCGCCCACTAGTTTAGTTGGTGATTTGGACGAGCTGCGTTGCCAGCAGCGGCACAACTGGAGCAACTCGATTGGAGTGTGGTTTGGCATGGTGTTACCAAACGCGTTGCGCTGAACTCGTTCATACGCCCGCTTTCTGAGCTGTCACCTGTTCATGAGTGAAAACCAACGGCCAAAAAGGGGGTCCCATTTTGCGTTTTTGACGGATTTCTCCGCTTTTTGCCACCGACGTACCATTGAGCAGCACCACATCTCCTTTGAACCTTTTTGAATCTAATCGCTGTCTTTGAATCACTAGATGCGAAGTCCACAATTGCTCCGTTGCATGGAAGTTCTAGCGATCGTTTTTCACCAACACTCAACCTGGTACGACTGAGTGGTCATGGTTCAGAAAGTATGTGGTCCCGCCATTTTGCAAGAAGCAAGAATTGAAAATCGTAGCTCAGGCTACTGATGGACGAAGAGGTTGATGACCAATTGGTAGATCATGGCTACAAAAATGAGTGCATCAACTCTGCAACTCCAAGCAAGTAAATTTGACATATCCTGTATGTTTTATCTATCTTGGTCCACTCCCATTCCATGCATGTTTCGTAAAACAGTAGAAAACACATACCGACGCCTCTCCCTCTGGTATGCTACCCTACCCCTTGGCTACGGGAATGAAAAACTTCAAATTTTCTTTGTATTTCAAATAAAAATCGCCTTGAGAAACTGCATATTTGCAATGTATATTTGTGTGTAAAAGCAAATGTGTGCGGAAAGTAAGGGAAGCGTGTCTTTGAAAACAAATAAATTTAAAAGACTCTTTTATTCCCTAGCCGAGGGAAGGATAGGATACGGCCTCTGCTGTACTGCAACGAGCCCCTCTGAGCAAAGTCAACC